GACTTTATTGTTGTAGCAGCAGATGCTACATCATCATGCTAAAGACTATATCAACATGTAAACTATAATTCATTTTTGTCCAGCAGGCATTATACATTTCCTCTGTCAGTCTGAATCAGTTTTTCCATTATTTTCTTCCAAGACTTCTGTAATTTAAAGATGCTGATATTTGCTAACTCAATTTCATTTTGAAAGGAAAATGAGCAAACTTTTCCTCGTCTTCCAGAAGTGGTTTTTTTTAGAAAAAGCACGTTAATACAAAGCACTGATGGGAAGTACTTCCCAAGTCCCAGAATCTAATTCTCTGAGCTATATTCAGTGTCAATGTTCACAGCTTCGCAATGAAAGATGGCTTTCTGCAAATATCACCTAGCACTAGTTAAGATTTTATATATTCTCTGAATGGCCTTGATAGGGAAAATAATATGTATACATAAGCAAGTGAAAAAGTGAAAATAACATTACCATAATATTTCATTCAAGCTAACAACCAGAAATACGGCATAAAACTGACGTTCTGGCCACTGATAGCTTTACTACCTTAATTCACAGAGGATATCACCAAACAATAGAAGTTGCAACTACTTCAGCCTCAGAGAATGTAATTTCATTTATTCATTTCAATGACATTTTTAGTAGACTACAGCTTCATGCAGATTAGTCAGACATCAAAAACCACATATTAGCTGAGGTGAAGCTGTAATGACTGCGGTTGTCTAACAGTGTCAATCCAAACTTTAGATTAATATAATTTGCTAGCTCTAAATGACAGAGATATAATATAGATCTCATATATCTCCAAAGTAATAAATAATTAGTGAGCAGAACTGAGTACAATAGCAGGTTGAGCACACCGCCAAATTTTGGATCTTGATTCAGGAGTCAGTGAATAGAATGATCCATCTTTCTGCCTCGAATGATAAAACAGCTTTCTCACAACCTAACACATAGCACCATCTGGCACAAACAGAGGAAACGAAGAACTTCTGGAAGAGAAGCACAAAAGCAATTTAGTTTCTTGAGAATTGTTCCAAGATATTAACAAAAATCCTTCAGAAACAGCCATCTGACTGCGAACGTGGTTCAGTGAACCTGTGTCCTGTAGACATGCTCGTATAGCTAATAATCTCGATAAAATGTTGTTGAATTCAACTGAACTGTTTGTTTGGGTATGGGATGGGTATTGTCAGAGTTAGGACAGCGTGTGTGGAAAGTCTACTGAACTGGCTGGGTTTCAGAAGATTATCTCATGTCTCCCAATGGGAATTTTAGAAGCTCAGAATACATCTCAGCAAAGCTCAGCAGGCTCTTTCTGGTAGTTATTTATAAGAGGAGTGACTACAAACACCACGTTAAGCTGTGCTTTGAGTGGTATCAGCACATGCATTACTGGCTGTTCGCTGGGGCTCAACGTCCTCCATGTGCAGTGGGACAGGAGGGGTCTGACCACAGCGTCAGCCCCCAGGGGGATGTGGAGCTGTGCCACCAGAGGCACTATGCCGATGTACAGCGCTGAGTGCTTAGCCTGAGATGCTTGTGGTATAAACACAAATGGAGTCTGCAGTCTTGATGGCATTATACACTTTCACTGATATTAGCACAGATTTATTCTATCATTGCTTTTTGAAAGTGACTTTTAATGCAGACTGTTTTCTAAATGATCCTTAAAAGACACTCCTTTCTTCCTCATCACCTTCACCTAAGGCAATAACATCCAGTAGCATTGATCTATTTGCTGCTAGTTTTCATTAATTTTACCCTCCCTAAGGGTGGTGCAGCTTTGGTGCCAGCTAATTAAAACCTATTTAGGGCTGTTCAGTGTACTTTATCAGACCAGAATTAGCTCTGCTGCTTTAATGAAGACTACAGTTTTCTCTATTATTACCAATTAAATGTTGTTATATCATATTGCACTTTATTTCTAATGCACAGCAAAGATATAGATGGCTTTAGAACCATTTACCTGGATTGAGGTACATACAAAGATGCCACATTTAGTAATTACCTAATGTTTCTTCAAACCCTTTCACTTGACTCAATACATATACCAAAACATTAGTGAAGTACTGGAAGAAGCTGCCAGCTTTATGCTCCCTCTAGGGAAGTACCAAGTAAAATGCATTAATGAAAAATTGTGAATGTCTGGTAATGAATATTATTTATGTACAACAATTATTCAAAGTGGATGAACATTCACTGCCTTGAACTCAAATGCTTTACTAATGAAGACTCCCAGAAAGAACATATGTCCCCCAGATTCATAACACCATATGCAAGGTTAATTCTCCAGTGTGGATAGCCTGTATCAGAGAGTATTTTGTACTGCTGTAGAATTAAAATAAACAAACGTCTTTGTTAGAAGTTAGTTGTTTAGAAGCAATTTTTGTTTCTACCGTGAACCAGTAACAAATCATTTGTCAATACCAAAGCTATGGGTTTTGAACCTTTGCTCAGTGAAGTCAGGGATGAAGCTCCCACATCAGTGGTGCAGGACCAGAGCTTTTCTGCAGTAGTGACTGTAGCACATACCTGTTAGCTGCTTCTCATAACAACTTTTAAAACTTGAGCACCACTAGGGTGAAACTCCTGAAAATCCACTAATCACCTAAAAAGATGGTACATCAAAGAGTAGAAATAGAAAGCTCATTAAAGGCTTGACAGACTAGAAATCTGTTGCAATCTTACTATGCATTAGTAGCATACACTGTACATAAGGACAGTATTTTAGGATTAAACTAAAATAGATGTGGTTACAATCCACTGAGTACATTTTAAAATATGAGTTGAACTTGGTTTCCTTCCAGAATTTTTGCTGGGAACATGCTGAAACAGACCTCTGTTCAGTCTAATATTGCAAGAGTTGATGTTTCTCTGAGGAACTGAAGGAATATTTGGCTGAAGAACCCGATTCTGTCTCAGCCTCATAACAGTCTGGCACAACACGTGAAACTATTTTCATCACCTACAAATCCCTTGTGCTCTCCCTTTCCTTCCTCCACAAATGCCACATACCTCTAACAGCCTCGTGACCCTCCCTAGAAACAGCAGTGTGGTCCTGCGAATTGAAGATGTTACAGAAAATGAAACAGTTTCCAAACTGAGGTCCCCTGATTAGTAGGGAACTGCAGGATGTTTTCTTGTGATATAGAAGGTGTTGGCTGATGACACGTCGACCGTTTCCCTTGCTTCTGTCTGACAAGTGCACTAAATGATGTTAAAAACACCACTTAGTATTTGATGTGGAAAAGTAGGACTAAAATTGAAAGTTGCAGTAGATACAAGGATGTTATCATATTGCCACTGTGAGAAGTGGTGAGGGTTTTTTCAGTCTTAAAGGGAGGCATCTGCAAACCCAATGTGATGTGGGTTAGAGACAGGCTCTTTACAATTTGTTTGCAATGTGAAAATTTCAGTTTTAACAGTTTAAGGAGAAAGAAATTGGCCCACTTTGACATTAGGCTGCTTAAGAACTTTGTTCATTGGACAATAGAAGTTCAATCTGCCTTTGACATGAAAAGAAGAATTTGTGTTAATTGTGTAATAATAAAATCTTGTAACGTGTTGATCTGCTGAAGAGGAATAGATCAGGCTGGAGATGAGGGTACTCTGACATTGGATGATGATATTTTTTGATACAGTATACTAAGGTCTGGTGTCACAGTAAGGATTCTGATAAAGTATTGCAAAGTCACTGTAACCTGACTGACTTAACATGGAAAAGTCATAAATAAATTTATGTTTAGCAATGCAATAATGTACCCATGTTCATATTTAGCTTGATTAATATGTAAACTGGATTGCTTGGATTATGAGAGGTCATTTTTGAAGAACAGGTCTTGTGTATTTTCTCTATTACCCTCTGTTCATCAGCTAGTTCAGTTAAACTAAAAAAGCCACGATAACCCCGACACCTTTATGACATATAGGAGCTCCCTCTGATTCCAGAATTGCAGCAGCAACGTGCACACATGGTAAACAAGCCGAGGGGCAAGTTCTTCCCTGTGTTTCAATAATTTTTAAAAAAGGAAAAATCAACTCTAACCAAGTTTTGAGAGTTTAATAACAAAGTGAATCAAGGATGTTTAAGAGAACAAGTGCTTCTACTTCAAAAGCTAAGTCAAAAGTTCGGACTAATTTAAACTGTGAATATCTGTATTTTTAATTTAGTCAGAATAGCTACAGTTCTTCACAGCTGCAAATTCATGATTTGTAAATTCAAAAATTAATACTAAGGCACAGCAGTGATCTGGAAACTCCTTCCTAGCTAGCTCCAGTGTTCATGCGTGACAGGTGTTCTTTCACACCAAAACACAGATGATCAGAATTTTTGCATCTCAGTTACAAAATCCTGCAATTTGTGCTCTTAATTCCACAAATCCAATTTCTGCTCTGAACATGCTAGCCAGAACAGTGGCCCTCACACTGTCATCTCCTTTCTGTCCTCACTCAAGCAACATAAACACACGTTCTCAGGCATGGAAAATAGAATTTCATCATAATTCTGGTAAAAACCTAAATTTATTACAGTATCACTGATAATCCATTTTCACCGAGAAATAGAAATAATGCATAACCCTGAGGTTTGCGTTTGAAGAAAAGCTACAGTGACTCTTAAAGGAGAAGAAAAGACAACATCCAGAGTTATCCTGAGGTTGTGAATTTGGAAATGTTGTTTGTGTAGGATTATCCTCTTCAAATAAAATGCCAATTTAATCAATAGTAAATTGAGCTGAAAACAACACACAGCTTTGAAAACGTTTCAGGAAGACATCCAATATTTTTGGGACTCGAGCCAAAAGAAATGGAAAGAACAGAAGGTAGCGTAGGTGGGGTAAATGGGGCCTAGCTGCTGCCTCATCAAGTGCTTATAACAGTCAAAACCATATAACAATCCATTAAAAACCTATCTGGGGACTCATTTAGAAGCTGGCATCCGGCATGGACTTCTCTCATGTATCTTTTGTCAAACATTATAATTGTTCTTGACATTTAGATCTTACCGGTCTTTTCCTGTCTCCTTCTTAAATACTGCATCACAGTAACTCATGCGCTTTTCTGTTGTCACATAGATTTTGGCAGTTGGGTAGCTGTCAACAGTTTTCTTCAGCATGTTGTATACAATGCCATTTCCATCCTTCCTCATATTTCGAAAAGGTCCCCAGATCACGTAAACAGTGTTGTTAGTTTCTTTGAAAAAGTACTCAGAATTCTTGAGTAGGAGAGGCACGCTTGTGTGAGAGACCACTCTTACGGTTGTCCTCTTCCCAACATCCTCCTCATAGCCCTTTGTGGGAGCATTGTTCATCCTCCATATGCAGGAAGACTTGTCTATCTCGGCTCCCACCTTCTGGCCAGCCATCTGTCCCGAGTTTGAAACAATGGCACAGAGGTCACAGTCAAGTTGTAGAGGCTGGAAGAAAGAAAACCAAAATATATGGCAAGTCTTTCTCTGTAAAACATGAAGACTGAAAATTCAGTTAAAAGAAAGATGGGCACAGTCCGACAAATTGATTGCAATGCTTCTCTTTAAAAACAACTAACAATCCCCATGTGGTAGAGCTGGAAGAAAACCCTACCACTGCAAAGCTCGGAATGCAATCCTTTTTAGTGAAATAGGCAGTTCTAATCTTTTCCTTTGTTCTCTACCTTGCAAAGTCAACTAGAAAAATAATAAATATTTTTTTTCCTCTAAATGTTGCTCTTTCCACTAGAAAACAATGAAAGAAAGAAGCAGCAGAAAGCAATATTTAGATCAATGCTGCCTTCTAACAAGGTGGTGTCAGCAATAGGAAAAAAGTACAGAAGAAGTAATGCTGGAAATTTAACTATACACTGTTTATGTGTCTGAATTAATAGTTCCCAAATTTGTGATAGAAGTCAACCATGAGCTATAACTCTAAAAATCAGTGCAGTAGTATGAAAATCCTGCAGTTGGAAAGGAGATGTAGACAGAGGAATACGTTGTTCTCTCCTGAGTACGGTTATGACCCATGAAAAATGAGAGGCAGATGGACTGGTGACACGTGAACTTAATCCTGGGCAAACTGAAGTCAAAGACAGTATTTCCTGAGCACATTCTAGGGTATTATTTCTCCAGTATGAATTGAAAATAGGAACAGTTATCTGTCTAACAGAGATACAGGAACCTATCTGATGTTCTGTTTGTCAGACTATAAATAGTAAACACTTTTTGGTTCTTTTGTACCAACAGACTAAAAGGAAATTCCCTGTATTTAAGTTGGATTGTATGTGAAGTTTCATTAGAAATCTAAACCAAATGAAAACTAGATCCAACAAAAAAAACTACAGAAGACAGTTTAGGCCACAGATTATCTACAATTTTTTGTATGGTCACAGACTTGATTTTCTGTTATGCTCCCAGTTGGGAGCCAGTGACTTCAGTATAACGTTTGTTAGGAATAATTTCCTTCGTGTTCTTCAGCATTAGCCCGAAAGGATGCTAGGTGCTTTTCTCATCAGACTTGCAGTTATTTCCCTTCAAAATCACATCTCATTTAGCTGGTGTGGATGAATATCCTGGCTACATTTGACCACTATAACCTTAGGACATGGTGGCTGACAAAACATCAAATTTCTTTGATAACAGCTATAATATCTCATCTCTGGGTGACAAACGCTGTAGTGAGCTAAGCTGCATCCTGTGAGACTTCCGCAATAAATCTCACAATTGCAAAGGTTGGATTTCTCTATGTGAGGGGTTCATGAAAACAATCTTTCCTCTTTTTATCAGGACTTAAAGATGCCTGACTGCATGCAAAAGCATTGGCAATGTTTCCTTTGCAGAACACCATGTATTTTTTTATAGCTGTTGTAGTTTTAGAGAGCTGTCCTGCATAGTGCTCTGACAGCAGGGATGAAATCCCAGGAGATGCAGCTGAACACAACAGTCTTTCTGTTTACCGCTTAGTTAGAGAAATCCTCTCTAAGATACATTATGAGGACATGGCTGGGTGACCTAAACAAATCCATAAGCATAACTCATATCCTAACATGAAGTGAATTGTTAAAGTCCCAGAAGATTAATTTATACTTTCACGGTGAACTTTCAAACTAACAAATGCTGAATATGAAACTACTAGATAGGAAAAGCCAATCTGGTCAGGAATCTGGTCCCATTTAAATCTGTCTCAACCTTGGTGGGGTTTTTTTGTTGTGGGGTTGTTGTATTGTTTTTTTCTCAGAATATTTTTCCTTCACCATTAAAATGGAGCTGCTCTCTTAAATTTGGAATTGTTTGATTTTCTGACCTTAGTTAGAAATGCATTGCACATTTTCTATTCACTGAGTGTAACTGTTCTGCTCGAATAAACTGAGTACACTCACTCCTGCAATTGTGTCCCCTGGTTTTCTAGCTCTTTTTGTTGTGATTCATTTATCTTGCTCCAATTTATAAAGTGCTTTCATAATATTGAATGCCTGCAATAGGTCAACATATAATCTGCTCTTCTTCAATAGAGGCAGAGGCTTAACCCCTCCCAGCCCTATCTCAGAATAAATATTTTTTACAATGGAGAGAAATATTACATGTCCTAATATTCATATTTCCCAACAGAGATCCCAGAGGGAGTTGATACTGACTGACCTGTGACAAACATTCCACTGACTCCAGAGTCATCCATTGACTTCAGTCACTTTTTGCATCATATCTTCCTCAATGTATGAGAAAACACACATGAATAGTCATTTGTTGAACTGCCATAAGGAGGCAGGCTTGAGGCGTTGGTTTATAAGTGTCACAGACAAAAGGGGCAGTTTCAGTAATCCACATACAACAGCTTTCTCACTTTCCTTATTTAACATGACATTCCTGTTTGTTATTACGCCCTAGCTCAGGTATGGCTGTCCCATCACTTTAAGACTCAAAAGCTGCTCAAACGTAGCTCCTCTGTCAGGTGGCTTCCACAGGAGCTATTCAGGCACAGGGATTTGGATACTGGAGGAGCCAGAACTGGGAAGCACCTGGGTAGGGTAGCTGTGACTGCTACTTATGTTACTGAACTAGGACACAGCTGACCCTATGAACCTGGAGGAGTTGGGGTGACGTGCTGTTGCTCCCTCTCACCCCATACTCTGGAGTCCTACATCCCTCACATCCTTTTCCCATATGCAGATTTTTGTCTGCAAGGTTGCTCACGATAGCCCTAACCTGTAAGGGAAACTATCATTTTTCCATTTAACTTACTGTATTGTTTATATTAAGGATGAACAGAAGCAGAGAGACAATTCTTACACACAGAAACGTGAATACAGAGAGATGAAAACTGAAGAATTAGAGAAAATGTATCTTCTTGGTGATCTGTTTTGCAATTAACAGTAACTGTTTACAGGTGTAATCACATCACAAACACCAGGATAGCAATCAAACACTAACTCAGCAGCAGCCGCCTTATCAGAAAAAACAAAAATGGGTCTGGCAGACAGTCCAGGCTGCCCTCTCATCTGTAGGGATGGTCCAGCAGCAATGAGATTGATACAGATTGGCAGGACCATACAGAAACCTGTGCTGTTACTGTTTATGGTTTCTGGACCAATGTTCTGGGTTTGGTTGGGATAGAGTTAATTTTCTCCTTAGTAGCTGGTACAATGCTGTGTTTTAGATATAGAATGAATATAACATTGACAGCAACAACTAAAACATCAGTGTGTTAAGTAGTGTTTACCCTTAATCAAGGATTTTTCAGTTTCCCATGCTCTGCCAGAAATTAGGTGCACAGAAAGCCAGGAGGGAGAATGGCCAGGACAGCTGACATGAACAAGCCAAAAGGATATTCCATACCAGAGAATGTCATGCTCAGTATATAAACTGGGAGGAGTTGGCTGGGAAGGTGAGACTGCTGCTCAGTCTTTGGTCAGTAGGTGGTAAGCAATTGCACTGTGCATCGCTTGTTTTTCTTTGGTTTTATTTCTTTCTCTTTTTTCATCTTTATTATTATTAGTAGTAGTAGTTATTTCAATTATTAAACTGTTCTTATCTCAACCCACAAAGTCTACTTTTCTTTTTTTCTGATTCACCTCCCCATTCCACTGGGGCTGGGGGGAGGAGTGAGTGAGCAGCTGTGTGGTGCTTAGTTGCCAGCTGGGGTTAAACCACGACAACCAAGAATGTCAGTTATAGGTTTACCTGTACCTTTCACAAGATCTTCTTTCACTTGCATTGTAGATATATGAGCTAAAGGAAAAAACATAGAGAATCATTCACCTTTTCTTCTCTTTTCATGTATTTAGACACGTATTTCACCTCTACACACCATGGGGGCTGAGCTATTATTGCTTCTAGAAAACGATTCATTTTGTCGCTGACCAGAAGGATGTGGAATTTCTCAGCAGAGCAGCTGGGCATGATTCTGACAAATTGTCCCATCTTCTTCCTGAGTGATACATTGTAACTGTTGAGGAGCACTTATATTTTAATCAGTAAAGAAAATGAAATGTCTGACCTTTCCATTTCCTGTGCAAGCTTACAGACAATAGAAAAGATAATTAAAACTGTGAATTAGAACTTGCAAAACAGTGCCGTTTCTCTAGCAAAGAGAAATAGCTGTGTAATAAAGGTCACTTATCAAACAGTTCTAGTTATTAAATCTTTGCATTTAGCACTGAAGTGGCTTCACAGAATCAAAGGTCAAATCATTAAATAACAAAACCAGCCAGAATTAGAAAAGGTCACAAGCAAATCTAACTAGAAGTAGGTCACAAAACATGATTCTCTTCCACAGAGGATTTCAATATTTGGAAAATTGGTTACTTTCCAATTTGAAACAACTCCCCCACCATTTCAAATGTCTCCACTAAGAGACTGAAACTCCAGCTACAGGACCATTTGCAAGGGTGGGTTTCCCAGTGACACAGATCCTGGATGGCCAAGTTTCCCAACCACAGACCTGCGGGTCTGCTGAAGACCCAAGCGATCTCAGTGATCTCAGGCCAGGTCTCTTAACCTATTGGCCAAAACTTCAGCACAAGTCCGTGGAACCTAACAAAACAATGTCTTGACAGACCAGTCGCATGCCAAGCTCCCACCTTAGCAGAGACTGCCAGATTCACTCTTCAGTTGGACCAAATCTATCCCAGGACCTATACAGATGTAATTTATACTAATGAAAAGCTGAATTTCTCTTGCGACTTCTTAGCATTATAGACTGGTGGTGCGCTGGAGAGCTCACTCCAACCACCAACTCTGCTTCACTCTGTGAATCCCACAACTAATCATACAGATAGTTAAGAAATTCAGATTAAAGTTTCCCAATTGTTACTCTGACAATATGATTGTAATTTTGTAAATTGGATGCAATGCCCATTCACTACATAATGAGGCAATTATTAGCAGCTCGCCACATATTAATTTGCTCCTTTAATGTTGAAACAAATGAGATCTTTTCTTATAATCAT